ACTATCAGTAACGATAAACATCATGTCTACGTACAGACGTTCGAGAAAATCGCAGTCGAGAAATGAAGAATTTCAAGAACAAGTTATGTGGGGAGTTGCGAATGAAAGAAAGGAGCCCAGTTTCATATCAAAACGCCAGCCAACAGCTGCCAGAATAATGATCCCAACAGACAACAAAAGTTTTAACGTTGATGAACCTAGAATTGTTCAAAACTCAGCCCCTGTCAGCATTCCTGACTGGTCCAAAATTTATGGGGAAAGCTCAAAGAATGGCAATGGTGATGACTACGTAAGAAGTAGTTGGGAAAGTGATGAAGAAGATGATGATGGGAATCTGATACCACCACATGAATTTAGTGCTAGAAAGCTTGCAAGGAAACAAATTTCTTCATTCTCTGTGTGTGAAGGTGCTGGAAGAACCCTCAAAGGGAGGGACCTAAGCAGGGTAAGAAATGCTGTTTTATCCAAAACTGGTTTTCTTGAATAAATTTTATGTTATTACTCGACTTTGCAGTAGCGAATAGTATTAAGGATGATTGTATTGTTTAGTCCCGTCCTCACAAATGTGTCTTTGATGGGAATGCCATGGTTTAATGCAATTCCATGTATATTATTCATGAAATTCCATGTACTTTGTTTCAATTTGAATGTAATTAAATTTAAATCATAATGATTTTTCAGTTTTTCGGCGGCTGCTGCTGCTTCTTTCTTGGAAATATTGTAATATACCGGCGGCTTCATTTGACAACTGCATGGATGATTTGATCTTCATTTTTTTTTTTCCTCCTATTTTATTTTTTATCGTATATTTTATAAATATACAATTTTTATCAGCTTTTTAATTATATATTTAATTAATTTCTATCAAAAGTTTACTAAAAACCTGATTTTTAGAAAAAAAAACAAATGGGGCTAAAAGTGGAATGGCCGTTTTTGCTGACAAAATGTTAAAGTAGGAAGATTTTTTATAAGAAAAAAGTGGTGTTTTTTTTAATTGATAAAATTTGACAACTTGTTAAATTTCCGTAATGTCTCAAGTTGCTTGACATATTGAGCATAAAAATATTAATTTTATCGAATCTTTTAATAAAAAATAGACATGTTGATCATATATCGTGAAATGCAAATTTTATAAAAGACCTTTTTAGAGATGAATATCAAAAAGTCATCAACTTATTTAACAAAGCGTAAAAATATTTTATTAGAAAGTATTTATTCGACTATCAACTCGACTCTTCATTCGATGAATAGTGTTAACATAAACCCTAGATATCTATTTTTCATCTTAACTCCCCTCAATATCCTTCTAATCAGCCAAAACAAAATATCAGCAAATAAAGAACAAAAAACTAATTTTCCACTTATATCACAATTTTGAATTATGAAATATTTGAATAGGGAAAGGATATTCCACCAACTTCAATTTTTAAATTGAAAAATGAGTTAATTATTTTATTCCGGTTCATGACTTCATTCCAATTTTGACGGAACAACACGCTAGAGAACAAATTTCCTTTCACTTTCGCCCCCCAATACTTTTGGCTGCATCTAACTCAACCACTCAATTTGATTTCCAAACTAGCAATTCTGGCAGTAAACACTACATAATTAAGCATACGATCATTATGCACCATTATTGTTGGATTATGAAAACAAAATCTTCTGATCAAAATCAAAAACTAAGCGGGACTTCGTCAGAGAATTCAAAATAAAGCGTTGGGAGCTCAAGCTGTGTCTGGTCTTCCCTGCCCATTCCCCACAGGCTTTCGTGAGTACCGACATGTTTTTGAGTAAGTTTAAAGATTAATGCTATACAGCACATGCTTAGCATCAGTCTTAGGCCCTGACTCGCCCTCAATGGACGAACCTTGTAGAGGAATCCTTAAGTTTTCGGCAGACCCCACATCCTACATTGCCTAACAAAAAAAAAAAAAAAAAAAAAAAAAAAAAACTAATCAAAAATTGAAAACCCAATAAAAAAAAAAAAAAGAAAAAAAAAAAAAAAAAAAAAAAAAAAAAATACAACTAATCACTAATTGTAAACCATGAGAAGTTTTATAATAATAACAAGAAGAAGAAGAAGAAGTAATTTTTATATAGGTCGCTTTATTTATTTTCCATTTTTTCATTCAATTATAAACATTCAAATAAATTTGACTAAAGTGATCTAAGACGTATTATGCTGAACAAAGACTTGAAATCAGAACATTCTTCCCTTTGAAGATTTCTAATTCCTTAAGAGCCAAAATTCTCAATCTCTCTGTTTTTTCTTCTATTAATCCCTCTTTATTTTTCCCTATTCCATTTAACATCCCATGAATCATTCCAACATAATCCCCATATTTTCTCAGCTTTTCAATTTCCACTTCATCTCCGCCACCCAATATAGCTCCACAAGCTGCTCCACATGCATGCAACTCAACTTTTTTCTTCTCGCATACGTAATCCATAACCCGACCCGTATTTTCCTGTGATAGATCCATTTCCAGTTCTCGGTATCGCCCATCTATCATGCCCTGTGAGCCTATGGCCCGGGTGATCTCTACAATAACCCTAAGGATCTGATCTGGATCATTTTGGGCCTGGTCCATGGACCTAGCCAACAGCTCAAGCCCAAATGGCATAATCCCGTCTCCAGTAAGAAGCTCAACGTTTGGGCCGAATTTGTGTGGGACTTCTGGTTTGGGCCTGGGCCTGTCTGTCACTGGTAGGTTCTCATGGGTAAATGTTGCAGCATGCATGAGATGTAGAGCTGCAGCTGCAGCTGCAGCTAAGGCTCGGCTCCGGTCACCGCCGGTCAGTTCGCATGCAGCAATGCACAACACCGGCGCTTTAGTCCGTGGAGCGGTAAACGTCAAATGATGCATCGGCTCAAAAACCGAAAATGGTGGCCTAATGGGAAGAGCCTTTTTTAGGTACTCTTTGATTTCGACTTCATTTGACACACAATAAGATTGGTTTCGAACCATCGTAACAACCATTGGCCTATAACACGGTGATAGACGGCTTCGATTCGTTCTGATGTGAGTTAAGAAGCCTGATTTTTCAAGACTTGCTGCCATAGAATATAAAGTATATGGTAATTATGCAATAAAACTAAGAAAGATGAACATGTGAAATTGGAAGATGATTCCTACAACCCTTATGAAGGGGAAAATTTTGGGTCTTTCTCACTCAAGTCAATACGAGATAGAGACGTATAAATGTACATCACTTAAATCTTACAATAATCGAATTACTTAATTAGTGTGTGTCTTGTTTTTTGTACAAGTATTAATTTTGGAGAACATTCTAGTTCTAGGTAGATTGAGGTGTACCTTTAATAAATTTAATTTAATGGGCTAAATGTATGTTTCTTTAGTTGCCAATGTGACCTATAATTTAAAGAGGACTTTGCTACATGCATATCAAATTTTACAAAATGAATTACATAATCAACTTTTTCGTTCAATCTTTTCCCTCTACATTATTTTATGTACAAATAGCATAATACATTTAGAAAAGTAAGTTGAAAAGTGCATGGTATGAAATTATTAGTTGGATGTTGGGATGTAAGTCAACATAGAAACTCATAAAATTAAATTACGTGTCCTCATGAATTGGTACACGTAAATTCATGAAGAAGAATCTAAAGAACTCTCATTCGGTGTAGCATCATTCTCGATAAGCCCCCATTTGATAACAATTTTTCATCTAAAAAAGTTAATTTTTTAACCGTTATTCACTATTTCAACTGTCATTTTTTACTTCTTCATTTGTAGATGGACTCACTTTTATCTCTAGTCAAAAAACAATTCTCATAATCATTATCAATCAGACCCTTTACATCTATAATTTTGTCTTCCTGATTTAACTTTCTTTGTATAAAATATTTAAAATTGTTTTTTTATTATGATTTCTCACTTTGCAATTGATCACTGGTGGGACGAATATTTGTAATTGGCTTGTAGTATTTTCAGTTTGAACTGTGTATAAATTTCACAAATGTTTTGTCTTGATTGTTTCACAAACATCAGATGACTTTTATTACAAGATCTGAAACTGTACAAGAAAAATATACAAGAACTTTACACAAAAACTAAAACCACAACATCAAGACTTTAACATTTCATAGGCTCAGACCATACGCCCTTAAAGAACATCATAGAGGCACCGGACTCAACCACATGACCTTCACAACCCTAATCACAGAGTTGCTTCAATGGAATTAGAAATGGACACACCACTTCAACAATAGTTCATCCACACAGACATTACTACACAAGGACTCGATTATCACAAAGATAATCACCAGAAACTCTTACAAAGAGAAGATGAAAAATCACGAAAACAGAGAAAGCCCTTGAAGGTTCCAGAAAAAAAAAAATGACTCACAGAGAGAAAGAAAATGACGATTCACCCTTCTAGGGCAAGTAAGGGGTCGTCTTTATAGAAAAACCATCAATCGTTGATCAGTGGGTCAATCCAACGGCTCCAGAGCGACTAAGGAAATGAATTGAATTATTGTGCCCGATTAAGTGGGCCATCTAAGTAACATAGTAATAGTCAATCTTTTCATTTCATATTGGGCCTTATTTTATCATCACAACTTACGTTGGATTGGACCTTGACATCACAGCCCAATAGTGACATTCCTGATAGGGCTGTTGAAGTAGAAGATAAAAGAATATGGAGACTTTTTAGACTAGTAGTATGATTATCTCTTGTATTTCTTTCAATTTTTATATAACGATACTCCATGGCTTCTCTAGCTAAACTGATGTTGTCTAGGAACATGAAAAGTACCTCCTTAAAAGGTTAAACCCTAACCTTAAGGGTCCCCCACCACCCCTGCCCTGGAGCATCGTGAGGGACATGAAAAGTACCTCCTTGAACTTTAGGGAAGACGATCTAGTTGATCCTAAAAGCGATTTATGCCTCTATTTGATACCAATTAAAATCTAGACTTTAATTCAAAGCGCAAAATCAATAATTAATTTTAACCACATATTTTATGGATCCCACAACTTTTCAATTACACATTTCATCAACTTCTATCAAAATCTATTAAAAATTCGATTTTAATCTCGCCAAATTGGGCCAAATTGGGGTTATGTATCGTTTCAAAGAGTTGTATATAATATTCATGTTTAGTATGAGAAAAGAGAGATGGAACGATATGACAATTCGAGGGGAGCAGGCTAGAATTGCAAATGTGCTCCATTTTACAAAAGGAGAAGATTACTATACAACCATCTTACGAAGAAAGTGTAAAAGAACATTATTTAAATTCTTCGAGGATGAAATTGTTAATAAATTAATAATATTGCATTTTTATATACACATTTCGTAATACTGACATATTTCATAAGAAACATGCATCCACGAATAAGAGTATTTGAAAACTTTTGTTTTTGTCAAATTATAAAATAAGTTGTTTATTTTAGGCCGAAAATAATTTTATTTATTAATTTATTTTAGGTCAAAATAATTTTATTATGATTAAATCGTAATTTATGAAACCGTGACTTGGCTCACACGCTTATGCAACAATCAAAAGAAATAAATTGAGAAACGGCTCCATTGAGAAACACGAGCACTCAATTTCTTTCCATTTGGTAAAGTTTCTTTCCCTTTTCTCGATAAATTATTTTACATAATTCTCTAATTTCGCCGAAAAGAAAAGAAAAGAAAAGAAAACCCTAAATTTCGTCCATTTTTCATCAATTTTCAGTTAGCGAATTGTAGCTGTCATCCAATAGCCATGGCCAAAAGCTCCTTTAAGTTGGAACACCCCCTTGGTATGTATTTACGCATCGTTCCGCACATCTTTGTTGATCTGATCGTTTATTAAACCTAGTTATTTTAATTGCTTTGACTGATAGAGTCTATATATTTCTTTGATTACTGTATTAGTATAGTTTTGCCTCTAAATTCCATTACGTTTTATTAAAATCCTGTTGATCGGATCATTGATTTGTGCGTGGGATCGAATTGTTTTTCTCGACCTATGATCCGTTATTAATTAATGTGAATTTGTGCCTTCTATGGGCTAATTGTGTGCAATATATGGTTAAATATGATGTAATTTATATTTTTTTTCCATGTTATTACGTTACATTATGAAAATATTTATGCCCTTGGATGATATAGTTTTATTGTTGTTGCATTAACATTTTTTTTCTCTCTCTCTAAGGCTGTGATCTCTGTGCGTAGTGAAAAACTGTGTAAAATTATCTTTTCAAATAAGAAGTTTATTTCTTATTTTATGTGAAATTGAAATGATTTTGAGTACGAATTGTATATACCATACACGTAATGGAAGGAAACCTTCTCCCCACTATAGCTAAGTTAGGAACATTGATAATAATTCATTTTTTATTTTTATCCTTTTCTGTTTGTAGATTGTTTGAACACTTTTTTTACAAATTTGTCTTCATAGATATCTTATTACCATATTGTAGAATGGAAGCAATATTTTTGTTTTGACTATGTACTTGTGGAATGGAATATTTAGGAAAGCGTCAAAAGATCAAACAAGTTGCAATTTACTGTAATTCCATGAAATGCAATTGTGTACCATTCTTCTCATGCACATTCCGCTTAATGCTCATTGCATCTTGAAGTTTACACAATTAAATATTTTGCACGTAAATCCAAAATTTTTTCCTACTTTTCAACCACATTTTCCAAAAAATCACTATTCCAAAAATTAATATCCCCCAAAAACCCTTTAAGAAGGGAGACAAACATTCTTTGACGCATAGTCCATTATTTGTAGATGTTTTAAAAGTGCTAACTCAATTGTTGCAGAGAGGCGTCAAGCAGAAGCTGCTCGTATCAGAGAGAAGTACCCAGATAGAATCCCGGTAATTTTTAATAATCTTCAAGATTGTCTTCTTTTGGATGATTGACATTTTATTTTTTGTTTGAGTTTCTCTTTTCACATTTTCTATTTCTTTTGCATGTAGGTTATTGTGGAGAGAGCTGAAAGAAGTGACATACCTGATATTGACAAGAAGAAGTCAGTTGCCTTCATTATCTTATCTTGTTAGTTGACGATGTTTTGAGTTGTTGACTTACAGGCTTGACAATTTGTTTTATGGATTTGAAAGCTTTAGTTACTCATTATTCTATGAACAAGGACAATGAAGTGATATAGTTGCAGCACGGGTTGACTATGACATGCTATAAGGATAGACTGCATTCAAAGTTGTGCAATATCTCTTTCTGTGATGAGATTGTTAATAATAATTGTTTTGTTTTGGGGTTTGGGGGTCTGTAGAAAACCTACATTCTTTTTTGTGCATAAAGTTTTCTTAAATGCCTTGAATGGTTAACATGTTACTACTCGCTTGTCTGTAATCTGCACTACCGTCCTTTCTCTCCCACAGTATAATTCACTTGTATCATGATATGTTAAATCATAATGAATGCAGATATCTGGTTCCCGCTGATCTGACCGTTGGGCAGTTTGTGTATGTTGTCCGAAAGAGGATTAAGCTCGGTGCTGAGAAGGCCATATTCATCTTTGTCAAGAACATCCTCCCTCCTACTGGTGAGGAGAAATGTTTTATGCTGTTAGCATTATTATAATTGCTTGCTTAGTCTGTAATGTTTATTTTAATTTTGTTTGAGACATTTCATTGCTCTATGTCATTGCAGCTGTCATGATGTCCACAATTTATGAGGACAACAAAGATGAGGACGGTTTCCTATACATGACTTACAGTGGTGAAAATACATTCGGGTCATTTTGAACTTGAAGTCAAGCTAGCTTAAGTGCTGAACAATGTATATAATCAAAGAAAACGTGTACATTCTTCTTGATTATCTATCCTGATGTTATATTTAATGCGAATATTGCTTTGTTCTAAACAATGTCTACTGTTTAAATTTGGAAGTGTTAACATATGTCATTCGATCTTATATTTTTTCTGTTTCTTGTTAGATTTTGTTTGTACACGAAAACGGTATATCCTTTCCCATCTGGAAAAAATCAGTCCATGAATTGATATGGAAAAAGTAAAGGTTAAGACACAGATTGAACTGGTGATAATAGACTTTCTTTTTAAGAACGAAACCAGAGACTCTGATGTAGCTGATTTTTCAAGTGAGCCAGTTGATTTTTGAACTCTTGATGGAATAACTTGTTCAATTTTCATACATGTTACTCAATTAGAGGACCAATTTTCCATTTTTTCTGTTGAATGAACCGGTACAATCCAGTTTTTATAACGTTGGCTAATTTTGGTGTTATGGTAAAGTTTAATTAGGGTGCATTCAATTATCACTTTTGAAGACTTTGATATACATTTTTTTTTAGTGATGATTTTTGTGGATTTCGTGGATCTTTCGTAGATTTGTATGAAATTAGTGGAAGTTTTTCGTAGATTTCTATGGATTTTCATTTTAAAATTTTTATAGACTTTTTGTGAAATTTAAAAGACTATTGAAGACGTTCATTTAAAATAGAATTCACGTAGATCTGCTGTGAAATTCTCACATAGAGGTGTTAGTTTCCACAATTCCTCTTTTCATTCCCTTTATATATATATATATTATGATTCAATATTATTAGCACATTATACTTTTAAAAATAAATAAAAATAAAAATAATTTAATTATAAATTTTTCATATAAAATTTTATAATTTAATAAAAAAAATAGATACTTTTCACAAAAAAATGAATAAAAAAAATTACAAGAATTCAATTTAATTTTTTTTTTATAGAAAATAGAGATAAATAATTAGAGTGAAAGAAAGATAAATGGAATAAAATCAATAGAAAAAAATAAATTTTAATCATACATGTTCATAGAAGGTTAATGAAAAGAAAAATTGAATCTTTTTTATTTTTTTTATTGTTTATTTTTTTATGAAAATCACTCAAAATCTTGTGATTAATGAAAGACAAATTTTAAAATTTTATATAAGTGCTTTCTTTTTAGAAGTTAGTACTCCAGAAACTTTTCTGGAAGTCATTAAAATTTGAATATCCCAAAACTTATAAAGATTTCTAAAAAGTTTTAACTGAATACACTGTAACTTTTAGAAATATTTTTAAAAGTCTCAATTAAATACACGATGACTTTTAGAGAGTCTCAAAAATTCTTAATTGGATACCTCCACACTTTTTAAATCTCAAAAAGTCATTAAAAGCCTCAATTGAATACACCCCTAAGTTTTGGTGGGATTCTTGATTATTCATATCTTTAGGATGTAGGTGTGGCCTTTAGTATTTATGGTTAATTACAGTGGTTGGATTAGGTAAACGGGTCATGTTTCTGTACCAACATTATTGGAATAGGTAACTTGTCATGTCTCATGGCTTAAGAAAATGTAGTGTCAATGTAACATGTTAAGTAGGCTATTGCATTTGCTAGGCAAATCTTCTTATGATGCCAAGCTCTTAACACGTTGAGTTGTAGCTTCGATTTCGCACTTCTTTTAATACATTGAACATTGAAAGTAATTAGTTTCCAATCAATCTTGTAGGTGTTAAGGGACAAATCGAAATTTGAATAGTATATAAGGTTAGATATTTTAAGTTGAAATATATAGCTTGTAATGCTCAAATGAGTTATTCAATCATCTAAAAGCTTAAACATGCCATCCATTTGCAAAATTGGATGTTCCTATGAGCTATATTAAGGGATAAATATGAAAATGATACTAAAGTCCCATGTCTCAGTGTACTTATTTGGACTTGGTTAATCTGCACTACTATTGGCTCAAAACTTCAAATGAAGGGTACTTCTTTAAGCTTGAATTCCTTCAGAAAAACTCATTCGTTTTCAGAAGGAACAGCCAAAGAAATGTCCAAAATTGCTAGCGTTGATAGACACTTTTTTGGGTTCCGTTTCAACGTAAAATATTTAGAATCATGCTACACATCAGACTCAAATCTAGATGAAACACATATCGACGTATGATTGGACATTGGACAATTTTGAAAAATCAAAACAAAAACACCTAATCATTTTTTGACAAGTCAGTCTGTCTCTTCACTCACTCTCCTATTTTTAAGCCTATTTAAGTGGCGTTATTCAAATATTTAACTCTCCAAAGCATATGATTGGATTGTACCATCACCAAGTCCCACATTTAAGAGATCACATGAATATAATTCTAATTGTTTGCAAGAATGTGGGTCCAAATTTTAATTCAAACCTAACGCAACCAGACTAAATAAAATGTGAAGTCAATATTTAGCCTACAAGTACCAATTATAATCCAATCCTAATGCAACCAAAGAAATGTGAAGTTATATTTAGCCGAGACGTACCAAGGAGGCGGCTTATTTTTTTAGCCCTGTTTATTCAAATTGGCCAAGTCACCTATTTGTTAAATCCATGTTTCGGTTTGTTGAGAGCTTATAAGCATGTTTGACCAGCTTATTTTTTAAAATAAGTCCACCCAAACATACTGCAGTGGATTTTGTACAACTGATTTCGCTCGCAGATCTCCTTCAAAATTAATATCCAAGCACCGCAAGTAGTACGTCGATGAATATTCAACAAACTTTATCTAAAGATAGTTACACTTCCTTAAATGCAGCAACTTATCAAACCGGACATTAAAATCAGAAATCACAATTCAGTGAATTCACACAAAAATTCATTAGTTCTAATATGATATATTTAGAGGAAAATTATGGGGCATATATGATCCTTACCATAATCTAAAGCAGAAGAAAGAATCGAAGTTTGTAAGAGCTACACAAGTCCAGGTAATAAACCTCGTTCATCTGAACTGTGAAAGTTCCAGCTTTCTAATAACATCCCCGTCTACAATCCAGAAAGAAGACAAACAAGAAGCTTTATACTAACTATAAAATTCTGACCAAACTGATCATCTTTTGTATCTTCTGGCTATTCTAAAATCTAAACTAAAGGCAGGCAGACGCTTTTGAATTGATGTAAATTAGCCTAACACAAATCCTGGTGCGCACATAAATTTTCGGATTCTACCATTTAATGAAATTCTCTCTGGCCAATAACTAGGATAACAAAACTAATTATGATGCGACCCTTAACATCATTTGCCGTCTAGAGTTGCAGAGCCAGGTCAGGCTGCTGAGAATCAACTCGGACACCTGATGAGTGTCGACCCGGAGACCCTGGTGACTGGAAACCAATATTCAGGTCTGGAGGGAGTGATTCCTGCTTCTGTTTTGCATGCATTTGCGGACTGAGATTCTGCCAAGGTGACTGTAGGTTGAACCTAGACAGGTCAGCAGTTACCAACTGGGGAAAACCAATTGGCTGATTTGGAAACTGGGCTTCACTGCCTACTCTAATAGGTTGTGGGACTTGTGGAACAAAGGCATGAAGCGGTGCGTTCTTCTCAGGCTGAAAATGCATCCCGGCACCAGAAAACTCTGGACGAAATCGAGATACTTGTGGCTGGAGACCATGAGTTGGGTTATACAAGGAATCTGCAGATATCTGGTTCATGTGTAAATTTGTGCTTTCCCCAGCTTGTCTAAAACCACCTGCCCCTACAGACATCCATGCACGGGCAGCAGCTGCGGCAGCATTTGAATCACACCTACTCGATGGAGAAGGGGACGAATCTTGAGGTGCATTAGCTGGAGACAGATTTGAGGATTTCTGTTGATCTTGAGCCTTTTCGGCTAACATTCTCATCAACTGGACTGGGTCACTAAGACCCTGCCCTTGTCCATGGGGATAGTAGGATGCTGTTTTGGACATGTCAGATGGTGAACTGGCTACTATATTACTATCCAAACTGTTAACCACTTTCCCATTAGGCAATCCTCCAACAGAAATTCCACTAGTAGTTGGCTGTTTAAAGGATCCAGATGTCAAAAGATTCATGTTCTTGGACGCCAACTCCATTGCCCTGGAAGCTTCCATTTCTGAATTCTTTGAAATCTGCCTCTGAGCAATAAAATCAGGTGCACTTTGATTGGCTGAGGGTGGACTGTTCAATTCAACCTGCTTTAAAACCTTTTTCTTGGGTTCAACAAAATTCCACGGTTGCGAGTTTTGACACTGGTAACTGTGAGTAGTAGAATCAGTAGGTTTGGTTCCAGGAGATAAAAAGAAAGATGATTTCACTTCTGAACAATTCCTCCTAACCTGCTGTCCTTTCACTGGACCGGAGGTGTTGGTAGTAGACCGAGCAGTTGGTCTATCTCCAGCGTGACCAAAAAATGGCAATTTATTTTCAGAGAAAGATCCACCAACTGGGTTTCCCATGGAAGAAACTGAGGTTGTAAAGGTTTTCGCACCCCTTCTTGTATCAGTAACATGCTCTATTTTTGCAAAAAATGTTGGTTCCTTCACGGTGCAATTTTCCAGTATTAACACAGGGGTTGGAAGAGGCTCGTACTCTCCAACCCAACCACGACCAAATTTCAATCCTTGAGGCAGTGCTTGCTCAATCCTCTTTGAAGCAACTTTCCATGCAACAGACCCAAGAGTTGCAGCAAAACGAGCCAGACTCCTAGCGTAAGAGCACTCGGTATAAAGTCCCACCTGATTAGGAAAAATGGAAATGAGTGATAGAGATGTAAAAATGATGAATAAAGGTTTATTTGCAAAGTCACTCACAGGAATTAGCTGCTTCATATCCGCCTCAAAAGTTGAAAATATAGATTCTGAGCCACCTACTGGTTGAGCTAATGATATGTTATATGTTGCACGACGGTTCTCATCATGTATGGCCAATTTTCTACCAAATCTAGACAGTGTACCCTTCCCTACAAGCAGAAAGCTTAGAAGTTAGAAAAAACATCACCAGAAGCGGATAAATGACCTTTGAAAATCAGTCGATGAATACAAATTTAGAACAGTAGGTGTGTTATACATCACAAGTTATTTTTTATGATTGCACGGGGAAATAAATAATATAGACAATCATATCAGATGTACTAAAAATTATTTGGTGCATATGAAACCTGGAATTGATTCTTCTCCCTTGTCTAAATTGGTGTCATTCATGGAAGAAATTCCCTCAACAAACCCATCTATGCTACCAGGCCTCTCAGATACACCAAACTGAGGCGCATTTGAAATATTCTGCACATCTCCACCTGTTGCAAGAGTGGCTCCAGATGAGAAATCGGACCCAACAGGTTCCTGCACTGACCGGTTTACTGTTCTTTTTATTTGTTTCTTCACAACAGAGCTGGATCTCATATTCTGTTCTGGCTTGAGCTCCTTTTCTGAGCGTTCACTATTTATCCTTATCTTTTGAAATTTCCTTTTTGCTAGCTCTTGGATGGTGCGTGCCTTTAGAATGATTGAAGAAAGAAGTTGATCATTAGCCACAAAAAGGAAAGTCAAAAACAAGAGGGCAAATAAAGCTGTAAGCCTACCTGCTTATGGTATATGGTATCTGGGGCATTGTACTTCATGGCATTTGAGCATATCAGAAAAACATCATTCTGCAGAACAGCAAACAGCTCTAAGAAACAGAAAAAAATAATTGCCAGAGTTTTACCCCTGAAGATAGCTAATAGCATCCGTGGTATTTATTCAAATTAGCAATGATAATCACGGGTCGAAGATGTCACAAACAAATCCAGAAGAAAGTGTGTGTTCTCACACGCCCGAAAAAATATACAGAGGAAGAAAAGTGTGTGGGAGACTTTTTCATTGTTCTCAAGGAGACAGAGCATGCACATACATTAGAAAGACACACCAAGCAGAATCAGGCAAGTTAGCAGCTACTGTCTTTTCCTTTTCATTACTATCAATAGGCACCGTATAATAACAAATAAAAACGACAAATCTAGACATTCTTAAATCCAAAAGATATTGCTTGATGTTGTTCCTCGATGTAACAGTTCAGAAAAACATAACTATAGGTATCAACAAGTACTCCACACTTCAGCGGAATATATACAATCAATATTTGTGCTCATGGTTTTAGCAATTCAATCCAAGAAACAAAAGATGATGAATTCCTGATCAAGAAATAACAATCCAAGACATGTTAGTAAAAAAATCACCACTAGGAAATCAAGTTGTCAAAATTTTCTTTCCCACAGACAAATAGCCATTGTTGTTCCTCGATGTAACAGTTCAGAAAAACATAACTATAGGTATCAACAAGTACTCCACACTTCAGCGGAATATATACAATCAATATTTGTGCTCATGGTTTTAGCAATTCAATCCAAGAAACAAAAGATGATGAATTCCTGATCAAGAAATAACAATCCAAGACATGTTAGTAAAAAAATCACCACTAGGAAATCAAGTTGTCAAAATTTTCTTTCCCACAGACAAATAGCCATTGTTTGAGAGAAAACTTCAGATTCAGAAAACAAGGAGCAATCACTCCACTCAATTACAAACTTCACAAGTTCATAGCCCAAGTTAGCAATCCAGATAAATAATGCAATTAGATGGACAAGTTTACAAAGCTAATTGGCAAATTACAAGACCCAAAGAAATAACAAAAGCCAAAATGATAGGACACAGCCGAAACAGAAAAACAGAACGGCACATCTACTATTCCCTTCTTCAGAACAGACAGCAAACGATAAAACTGGAAAAGCCAAAAGGTGGCATTTATGTCAACACTTTGTGTTCCGTACGATATTTCTAAGAATTTGAACATAAAAGCATAAACTCCAAAACAATTGCTAAACCAAGATATTCTTCTAAAATCAAGCCTCCCGCTTTGAGACACAGGATAAACCCAGTTCCAACTTTGTCTGCTACACTTAGCATAGATAATGTAATTATCATGATGTCCAATGAGTGTCCTTAATCCACAATCATCTTGATCTGGAAAAAAAGAGGATACTTTCTAAGCCCAGTTTCCACTTTGAAGTGGGACCCTCAACCTAGCAGAATTACAAAAATCTACTAGAATTAAAAAACATAGCATGCTTTTGTATCGAAATATTGACATATCCAGTTTCATTTATTGTAAGTAGGCAAGATTTGATACAAATGATTTGGCACCAACTTTCAGCTCAAACGATGTTAGTCATCAGTCATGCATTGTCTAGTTTATGCAGAACTCTTTGAGCTTATTTGTTAAGGGATGACATTAACCAGCATTTGGGGGATGTATTTGAACAAATAAACATTTTACTACCCGGAAGATGAAGAGGGAGACCAACAAACCAACTATTGTGAAGGAAAAGGAGTGGGGGTCAGGAACGTGGACTCACCTCAAATTGTTCCAAGGTTTCATATGCTCCATTACCCAGATTGTTCCTCACAGTGGCAAAGTCCATTGGATGCTCTATTACATCATGATAATCAGGAAGCTGCACAGTTACCAATCAACCAATTTACGAACTCCATTACAAGTAATTCCTGAATACAACCTTCAACAATTCCATAAAGAACTTGCTAACCTCCTCAGGATCGACTGGTTCTGCATACACGCCATAAATATCCTTCCTGCCCAAAATGAAATCAAAGCATTTCAAGGTCCAGACAAGCCCTTAAAAAAACAAAGCACCAAACATTCACCATTTACACATAATTCAAAACATACTTCTGAAGCTTGTCCAAGATCAACTCCAGTGTCTTCTTTTCAGGCAATGGAAGCCTAGGTAGAGTCTGTGCCGGTGTCCCTATTCAAACAAACAGTAAATGTATAAAAATTTACAAATTTCCAAAATTAAACATGCCCATTCAATAAAATCCCGAAAATAAAAGCACACCTGGATGCGAGTGCACGGTTTTGGGCTCCATCTTTGTTTGTCTAACCTGTCAAAATCAGCAAAATCATTATACCTCAAAAAAGGCTATATTTAAAAAGGAAAGAAATAAATGCAACTATAGCTTAGGAAAACAAAAGTCCGAGGTGTTTATCAGACAAAGACAGAAAATAAGGGCAGACAACATATGTGTGTGCGTGTGCACAATATATACAACACATTCTGTTACATAGGTGTGTGTTATAGAGAGAGAAAGAGATGAGTAGAAGAGAGAAAAGGTGGGTGCGTGATCAGATTCTGTGGGGATTAGTTTTTGACAGTTGACCCAACCGTTACATTACATTACATAAATCAATATCAATATTCAACACGACACTCCTCCGACACACACTCAAACCCAACCTATACATACACAACCGTGTATGTATCGAAGTTTGGACCAATAGAAAATTCTCAGTGAAGTTTGGTTGAGCTGGAGCTCCTTTCCCCCTCTATATATACAACCATGGTTCATATACAAATTAATGTACTCCGCCCACAGCGAGCTTCAGTTTCTTCTTCATTTGAAATTTCATTTTTTCAGATCCAACAATTAATTACCTCGTCATCATCACCACTATAATTATCATCATCATTGATGTCGTCATTTTCGTCGTCGTCATCTTCGCCAGTTTCTCTGGCGTCGATTTTTCTCTTTTTCGAAGGCTTATCCTCATCGGAGGAAGAGGCAGATACAGTGGGGGAGTGAACACCGAACCGAGGAGTCGACTCGGAGCATCCATCCTTGTCATTCTGTAACTTGAGCAAGAGCTTGAGCTTCTTCTCCTTCCGCCGCTGGTCCTCATCAGTTTCCTCGAATATTTCGTCGTCGTCAAAGTAATCGTCGAGATCGAAGACGTACTTGACATTCCTTCGGCGAAGGCTCCGGCGTAGGTCCCTCTCCGTCGTTTCAGCCTCACCTGCACGGCGGCCCGCAGGATCAGGCTTCGCTGGTCTCCCTTTCTTTTTCCTCCTCACGATCTGGCCCATCTTTTCCAGATTTTTCTGCTCCCTCATTCTCTCTCTACAAATTTCTCTCACTAGAAAAGGAGCCCTCTTCACTCTATCTCTCTCTAAACTCTGATGTTTCTTTCCATTTCTCTCTCTTCTTTTACTCAATTATTTAGTGAGTGGTTGCTGTGCTGTGCTTTGGCTTTTTCGTAGCTTTAAAAGATCCGAACCTGAGTCCAAACCTAAGACTTGGTGGGGACAGCTATAATAAATGATTATTGTGTAGAAAGAGAAACGCCGTTAGTGGCTGATACAGACGGCGTTAACGCTGCCCGCCTGCCCGAATGTTTGGGTGCACGTGATTGCGTCAATTATACTTATTAATTGTAATACGTGGGACCAAGTGTATTCAACTTGAGAATGATCTCAGTTAGGATTTATGAGTCAAGGATTCAATGCCTAAGCGGAGTTTCTCTGCGGGGTGTTCCTAAAAATTATACGGGTTAAAAGCAATAATTCTGTTTACTTTCAGTTTACCATGATTTGAATAAGTAGCTAACTAGTACGGTTTATTGTTTGACTTGGTCACAGGAGTTCAATAAAAATGATTGATATCGTGTTGATCTAAAAATTTTGATGTGCCTTGTGGTTAATGAATCTTAATTTCTCTTTTGTTTACATGCATTTATGTGTATTTTTCTCCATTTTACTCGAGTGTCGAAGTTTTACGATCGTTGCTCTTCTATTGGAGCAACGATCAAGAACAGTTTAATGTAAATGTTTAAGTGTGCAGATAATATAACCGTAAATGAAAGAGAAATTGAGATCCATTGACCACAGGGCACCGCAAATTTTTGGGATCAACACAATGTACTTGATACTTTTTATATTTTTGGGTGTGGAAGAGACATAATTGACGAGAATATAAGTATAGGGTTTGAAAAGAGAGTGGCCAGCTTGTAATTTATAATATGGCGCTCACTTTTTCATTGGTAGAATGACTTTACCCTTGTGAAGCACAAGTGTGGGTCTTTTTACTAAGGGAGACGTGATTGTGTCCATTGGATATTTGACATGTGTTATCTAGATGACTCGCTAGTCAAAAGGTCATTCCACGGCATAAAATAATATGAAAAATATTGAAAAGTTGACTGAACGTATCCATTAGAGACTATCAAACATAAAAAAATATCTTTTGGTCAATGTAGCACTTGCAAAAGATGCCGTTGATAGCAGAGGTGCTACCTATAGAATGAGGCGTAACATTTAGTTCAATCTAGATCAATGAAACAATTTCTTAAGTTGAGTTGATGGACCTACTTGATAGATCACGGTTGAACGTACTATGATTTGTTAGTCGGTATATGATGTAGAATACCAAATCTTGCTCAAGTATCAAATGACAATTAGCCCACTAGCTCCTCATTTTATCAAGCTAGTTGGAGGATAAACTCATCGTCTACATGTAACAGACAAATATCTTATTTGATAAAGCCACTTTTTTATCGAAAAGTTGATTAAACTTGTCTAACATCATTTTTTTGTTAATCTTTAGTTTTAATCATGTTAAGAATTGATAATCACAATCCAACAAATTAATATAAACGAATTCATACTTGCGGAAGTCATTGTTGATATGAATAATAGTTGTAATAGCAGTTAAAATCTTCCCCTCCTTACTCCTCACAAAATATCAATAATTTGAGCCGTCCCATTACGACTAGAATTCTAATTAGGGTTTATTTTCGACCCACATACTTTTAATTACCACATCAAATTAATTACAACCCGTAAGGTGTAAAAGGTCTAATTGATCACTTAATAAATTTGGCTCAAACACAAATATCATTATGAGCCATATATCTAACCCGTAAAATTTTGCAATCGAATGTGAAACCCACATATGGAATTATTAATTATTACAACATTCTCCCACTTGGGCAAACATTTGATTGCTATAACAAAGTTTTAACACTCGAGTTAGACTACATAGGTGGCCACAAAAGTATAGCTCCAATGATGATACCTTACGTAACATGATCCGGTCCAACAAGAATATTAACACCGAACATGGAAGTCATTACACCAATTTAAGAGATGTAAAATCATTCCACAGCTACAAATGTCAACATCCTTATCGACATGGATTCCCATCCTCCAACCAATGTGGTAATATGTGGTATAAACTTAGTACCAAATGTGATCAAAATGAAGCCACATGTCTCTAAAAGAGACCCATCTTATGTCTTTACATGTCATATCTCAAGATCACAATAATATTATAATAAAAGACATAAGTCAAATGCATGCTCAAAATAGTCCATGGATAGGGGAAAAATATTTTATTGTCAGAAGGGGCTGTACCCGAAAACATATGGGTTGCCTACGTACCCCGTAAAGGGATTAAGCCCAAAACGTAGTTCTTCACATAAATAACTCCCACTTACCAAAAATATCAAATGTTTCAACAATACCCATGTTAGTAACATGTGTCTTAAAGACTTTTGGAGCGAGTCCCTTAGTCAAGGGATCTGCAACCATCGCCTCTGTATTGATATGTTCTATTTTCGTCTGCCCTTCTTTGACACTGTCTCTAATGACCAAATATTTGATGTCAATATATTTTGATCCACCAGAACTTTTATTATTCTTTGAAAAGAATACTGCTGCACTGTTATCACAGTAGATGGTGATCGGTCTCGAGATGGAATCAACAACTTTCAAATCAGAGATGAAATTTCTTAACCAAATGACTTGAACTGTAGCCCCATAACATGCCACAAATTCAACTTGCATAGTAGAATATGCCACTAAAGTCTGTTTAACACTTTTCCAAGAAATGACACCACCAGCTAATGTAAAAATAGAACCTGAGGTTGATTTCAAATCATCTTGACATCCAGCAAAATCAGAATCTGAATATCCTACCAGCTCAAGATGATTTGTACGCTGGAATGTAAGCATATCACTTTCAGTTTTCTTCAAATATCTCATAACTTTCTTAGCTGCTTTCCAATGCTCTTGTCCTGGATTAGACTGAAATCTACTAAGGACACTTACTGCGTAGGCTATATCCAGTCTAGTGCAAACTTAAGCATACATCAAGCTTCCCACAACACTAGCATATGGGATCATCTTCATAGACTCCCTTTCCAGCTCATTCCTTGGACATTGAGTTTTATTAAACTTATCTCCTTTTATGATAGGTACATCATCAGGTGCACAATTTTGCATATTAAACCTTTCTAGAACACGTCGTATATAAACTTTCTGAGAAAGTCCCAATAAGCCACGATTTCTATCACGATGTATTTCAATGCCAAGTACATAGGAAGCTTATCCAAGATCTTTCATCTCAAAATTAGCAGACAATATTTTCTTTGTCTCATGAAGCAGCCCTGAGTTACTGCTAGCAAGCAGAATGTCATCAACATACAATACAAGGAAAATAAAATTTCTCCCACTGGTTTTAAGATAAATGCATTGATCAATAGTATTTTCAACAAAATCAAGAGATGTCACAACCTCATCAAACTTCAAATACCACTGTCGAGATGTTTGCTTGAGACCATATAAGGATTTGTTTAACTTACACACCAAGTTTTCTTTTCCTTTTACAACAAAACCTTCAGGTTGTTTCATATAGATCATTTCAGAAAGATCTCCATTCAAAAATGCTGTCTTAACATCCATTGATGAAACTCCAAATTGTAGTGTGCCACAAGAGCCATCATAATTCGAAAAGAATCTTTCGATGAAACAGGGGAGAAGGTTTCAACATAATCAATGCCCTCTCGTTGAGTGAAACCTTTTGCAACCAATCTTGCTTTCTTTCGTTCAACATTTCCTTTTAAATCTAATTTACTTTTGAAAATCCACTTGTTATCTACAGCCTTAGCATCTGGAGGAAGTTCAATAAGATCCCAAACTTTATTCCTTTCCATGGAATTCATATCATCTTCCATGACAGCTATCCAATTATCTGCATCACGACTTGTCAATGCTTGGTTATAAGTTACAGGATCAACAATATGCTCAATATTAAAATCGCTCTCCAATAAATATGCAATATAATCACTGGGCAATGCAAATCTTCTTTCCCTTTGTGATCTCCTAACATGTGGCTTAGGAACCGATTTAATCGTTGTTTGAGGAATTTGAGATTCCTCCTGATTCCTCGATTCTTCATTAACAACTTCAATTGGTTGAAAACCAACTCTTTCCTGTATGACAGGAACTGGAATTACAACTTGATTATGTTCAACAAGAATTTCTCTCAACGTGAAACTCCCACTATCTCCAAAATCATTCTCTAGAAACTTAGCAATAATGGACTCCACAATTCTAGTGCCGCGATTTGGACATTAAAACTTATATCCCTTTGATCTATCCGGATACCCAATAAAGTAGCCAGGAGTTGATTTAGGATCTAATTTCTTTTCAAATGGATTATAAATCCTAACCTCAACTGGACATCTCCAAACTTTAAAGTGAACCATACTTGGCTTACGTCCTGTCCATAATTCAAAAGGTGTATTTGCAACAGCTTTACTTGGAACTCTGTTCAAAATATACATAGCTGTTTTCAAGGCTTCACCCCACAAATATTCAGGCAAATTTGTTCTACTCATCATACTTCTAACCATATCTTTTAAAGTTCGATTACGTCTTTCAGAAACACCATTCTGCTCAGGTGTCCCTGGCATGGTGTATTGGGGCACTATTCCACACTCTAGTAAAAATTTTGCAAAATCACCCATATTTTGACCAGACTCGTCATATTTCCCATAGTACTCACCACCCCGGTCAGATCTTACAACTTTGATACTTTTCCCACATTGTTTCTCTACTTCCAGTTTGAAAACTTTGAATTTCTCAAGTGCATGTGATTTGTCGTTAATCAAATAAACATATCCATATCGTGAGAAATCATCAATGAAAGTTATGAAATATTTATTCCCACATATAGTGGAAAGCAAAGGTACACTGATATCAGTGTGAATTAATTCCAAAATTCCATTGCTCATAGTCGAACCCTTTCTCGTAGACTTAGTTAACTTTCCTCTTATACAATCTATTCATGTGTCAAAATCAGAGAAATCTAAGGAAGGAAGTATCTCATCTTTTACTAATCTTTCCATTCTATCCTTAGAAATATGACCCAATCGCTTATGCCACAACATAGAGGATGATTCACGAATTAAAGCCCTTTTCTTTGATACATTTGTAACACACGAGACATCACCAAAAGAAGCCAAAGATAATTTATATAAACCATCACATAAAATGTCATTTCCAATCAAACGAGAATCATTAAATAACTTAACCATTCCATTACCAAAATTAAATGTAAAACCACAAGCATCAAGTTTTGGTATAGAAATTAAATTCCGTCTCATCTGCGGTACATAAACTGTATTTTCCAAAACAAGATAAAAACCAGACTCTAAAGTTAACTTCACTACTCCTATGAATTCAACATTCACTTGAAATCCATTTGCAACGCTCAAGCTTACTTCATTC